TGAGCCACTTCCAAATGTTATCTCACTCCACTGGACTTAAAAAATGTTTCAGCCCCTTTGGCCTAAGCAACAACTTCTGCACATTTCCATCAAGGTCATCTTCCTTAGTTTCTACACCGAGAATAAGAACAGAGCACAAGAGTTTGAATATTGTTTCTGTAATAGCTGTTGCTAGAAAATCTGACAAACGGGGGAAATCAGGATTATGGGACAGGAACAGCATTGATCATGCTTTTGGATGATCTATGGGGGTAGCACATCCATCCTTGCTCTACCTGACCTCTTGGTGGCTTTTGATACCATCGACCAGGGTATCCTTCTGGACCGGCTCAGAGGATTGGGGGTGGACGGCATGCTTTTGTGCTGGTTCTCTTTTTTCCAAGACTGGTTCCAGTTGGTGTTGATGGGAGTGAGAAGTCCCGCTCTCGGCCCCTGCTATGTGGGGTGCCGCAGGGTTCGATACTTTCTCTACTCCCGTGTAACATCTACATGAAACCACTGGGTGAGACCATCCATCACCAGTATGCTGATGACACCCAGTTGATGAATGAAGTGATGCTGTTCTCAGTGTCTGGAGGCTGCGGGGCTGTGGATAGGGAACAGCTGGCTTCAACGAAGCCCTCGTAAGACTGAGTGGCTCTGGGTTTTAGGGCCTTCTGTATCTGGGATTTATCAGTTTTGGTCCTGGATGGGGTGGCACTGCCCCAAACAGACCCAGTGCACAGTCTGGGGGTTCTTCTGGGCTCACGACTGCCGCTTGAAGAGCAGGTGGCAGTCATGGCCAGAAGGGCCTTGGCATAGCTTCATGTTGAGTGCCAGTTCACCCGTTCCTGGATTGGGAGGCTCAACCCACAGTCACTCATGCCCTAGTCACCTTCTGGTTGGACTACTGTAACTCATTCTACATGGGGCTGCCCTTGAAAGATATATGGAAGCTTCAGCTTGTGCAAAATGTGGTGATGCGGACAGTTATGTGTGCTTCAAAAACTGCACACGTTATACCTCTGCTTTGCAAGCTGCACTGGTTACTAGTTTGCTTACAGGTCCAATTCAAGGGGCTGGTTATGACCTTTAAAGCCCTACGTGGCGTGGGACCAGGTTATTTGAGGGACCCCCAGTGACGTCTACCGGTCCCACTAGGACCAGCAGGAGAGGCATGCTGCAGGTCTCATCTGCTAGGGAGCTTCATCTGGTGGGTCCTAGAAGGAGAGCCTTCTCTGCCGTAGCCCCTGCCCTGTGGAACATCATTCCCACCAAGGTGAGGCTGGCCCCAACCCTGTTGGCCTTCTGGAAGGCCCTCAAAACATGCTTCTTTGTGCTTGGGGATCCCATGGTTGAGTGGGGCCTGTTGGATGGCCATACGATCGCTAACTGATGTGCTCTCTGTACGCTGGCTGCCATTTTGTTTTTTTATTTTGTTTTTAGTTTAATTGAAATTGTGGCTTTATTTGTTTTTATGCATTTTGCTTTTATGCATTTTATTATGTACGCCACCCAGAGTCACTATGCAAGATGGGCGGCTATACAAATATGCTAAATAAATAAATAAATAAATAAATAAATAAATAAGTAAGTATCCATGTCTACTAAATGCAAATTCAGGCCAGACAATGAGCCTTACTTGTATGCAAATGAAGTAAATTTGGATTTAATGGACATTCAGATTTAACAGTGAGTCCAGAGTCCTTCCACCAGGGTCCGTTAAATCAAAGAGTTACTGCACTATAGATAGCCATTGCTTTTTCACTGAGAGCTTCAGAAGATGTTATAAATGATTTTCCTGCAGAGGGTTTTTTGTAAAGTCATCCCACTATATTCCACCCAAGCACAAAGATCTATAGGAGTGGAAGGGTTATGGTGAAGTTCCAATTCATCTCAGGGACCACTGAAAGAAAAATCCAGTCACTTATTATTTTAAATGAGACGATCTCATTACTACCCATAACATGCCAAAGTGATGCTTCAAAAAACCAGAAGTGTTTTAACATTTGTGTCTGGTTTGGAAGTGCACCCCCCCCCCCCGCAAAAATGTGACCCAGGTTTGGTCTCAATGAAAAGCTGCAGGGCCAAGCATGCAAGTGAACGTGTCTTCTGACCACGGGCAGCATTTAAAGCAGGCGTCCTCCAGTTGAACGGGCCCTGCATGGTGGTGGCAGGGGGAGTCTGGAGGTGCAGCCCAGGCACATCTGGAAAAGGCCACACTGGAGATGGCTAGCTTAAATCAATCATGTTAAGCTGAGTTAACTGAAGAAACCGACCCCAGAACAAAAAAAACCGGAAGGATAGAACTGGGTACTCATCCAAAGGATATATCTGAAGCAGTTTCGCAGCCAGCTCCGAAGACGGGATGTACCACGGATGCATCATGAGAAACATGCGGACCAGCTGGGGGTCCCGAACCTTGCCCTCATCATCTGCAAAAAGAAAAGAAGCATGTCGGAACATAAGCCCAGATAAGGCAACCCGTGACGAAGCAGGGCATCGGTTTTAAAACGTAATTTGTCATATTCCCTCCCTCCTGCACTCTCTTCCACCCATAGTTTAAATCCTCCTCCTTCTGAGAAGGTTCCAAAGTTATCAGCAGCTTTCCCTGTTGAATGACACAGACAGAAATCATTGCATTTTAAAAACTGCTTTGTATTTTTTTAAAAAAAGATTATTTAGAAAGGAGGCTGATGCTTCAGCTCGAAACTAACGCTCATAGGTTGAGGTACGCTTCTCAAGCCCCCACCCAACGGTTCCAGCTGTTAACGGACACTTGGAAAGGCTACAGAGCAGTGTGTGTCCGTGTATCTATGAAATAGGGTGGTACATATGTATGCATACGTGTTTGTGTGTGTTTGTAGGAATCCACACAGGTATATTGTTATCTCACATTGTAGCACACACACAGATACAAGTCTGGAAATCAGAAATATATAGGGTGGATTTAAGATATTTTACTTGGATCTCCCTGGGAAAATGTTTATTTTGACAATGAGGAATGTCATTATTCACATTAATTGCAGACAGGAGTGAGGGAATTGCTAGGCTGCTTCTGTTTTTTGATTCAAGATAGACTGTAACTACACATGGAGGTGCTTCTTAATAGACCAATAGACCTGGTTTGATTCAATCCTGCCTTTTCCAACTTGGAGTCTGTCCTGCTATGTTGGATTCCAACCACACCTTGTGCAAACGTATTCCACGAATTACCTTTTTGTTAAATATATAACAAATAATCCAATCTCACTTGTGGTCATTGTTAAAGTGGCAGTGAGTTCCACAATGTCCACCTTCACTTGCAGTCCACTAACTATGTAACCCACTGGTTAAGCAGTTCAATTGAACTGAAAAAGAGTCAAAGAAATGTGAATACAGTACAGCGGTGGTTATGATAAATACAGCTTGCATTTCATCCCCAGCAGTTGCTGGAACTCCTTCCTAATGACTTCTTAGATGTTCTGCAATAAAATCCACTTATCAAAACTTCCTGAATTCTTGTAGGCTCATTTAATTGTTTCCAATCCAACCTCCAGGGGAGAAGCAAGAGCGTCAAGGTGCAGCTAACGCAACTTGCAAGTTTGCAACAGATGTCGTGGTGCCGGCAGAGAATTGCACCATGTCTGCAATGACATCATTACACAGCTGTCATCCTTACCAAAGGCTTCAATGCATCCGTGTAGCAATTCATCCACCGTGCATCCTTTTTCCAAATCTAGCGTTGCAGACATTTTGGCTGTTTGATCTTGTCGCTCAAAACCAACCCAAGGCTGCAACCACTTAGGGCGACACCTAAAATGATTTTTGAAACAAAATCCAAAAATTAGGTTTTTTTTTTCCTGGGGTCATGGAGAGCAGGGAGGGGAGATGAATACTTAAAGGTCAAATCTAATTGAAGAGCAATAAAAGTATCATAGGTAAAAATAGGTAAAAGAGGAACAGTGCTGTGAAGGATCTGGACATGTTAGCTGGCAGAAGAAAAGATGAGAGATGACAGCAGTCTTCCAACATCTGGAGGGCTGTCGTACAGAAGGGAACTGGGCCTGTTCTTGGTTGCTCCATGAACCAGGACCAGAGCTGATGAGTTAAAACTGCAACAAAGGAGGTTTAGATCAAATATCAGGAGGAACATCTTGACTGTGCGAGTTGTCAGCCAACAGACTGCCCCAGGAAGTGATGAACTCCCCTCGTAGGAGGTCTCCAAACAGAGCCCGGATGGTCCTCTGTCAGAATGGATCCTGCATGACCAGCAGCGGCCTGGACCGGATGAAGCCTAATTCAACTCTCTGAAGTCCATGGAAGGGGTCAACTTTAATCTGCTCTATTTCCCCAGTTTTTTCCCCCTGTGAAAGAGGCTTCAGTAAGTCTCCCACCTTCTCAAATTGCTTGAGGGTTTTTTTCATGTGCCTCTGGGCGCTTTTTTAAAAATAATCCCTACATTTATTGTTAAAAATACAGAGAAAATAGGAAAAAAGCAAGATCAAACAAACTGAAAGACTGCCATGTTTCAATTTTAAAAGACCACAGTGAAAAAAAGGAAAAGTAAATCACATTTACATGATACATTCTCCATTTCCCTTCCATTTGTATCCCCAATAGCTAGCTACAGTTTAGATATTTGAACTTTGCATCAAGCATTAGTAAAAGATGTTACTTTCTAACTGAGACCTCAAAACCGTATTCCAGGTGTCTAAATCTCCCTTGCTCTGTGATATATTGTATGTAAGGGAGCCATTCCTGCTTGAATTGAGTTAAACTTCTATTGCAGATAGATAGATATAGTCAATTTTGACACAAGCATATTCTCCAATTTTAATCTCCCACTCTGATGTCAAAAAGTATGTTTTTTCCCAATCTTGTGCTAGGTTTATTCTCCTGTGGTAAACAGGTATCTTAATAAATGGTTGCATTTTTCATAATTTTATATTCTGGAATTATATTGAAGAGAAACGTCTGTGGTTTCAGTCCAAATTGTAGTTTTAGATTTTGTCGGATTTTTTAATGTATTTCTTTCTAATACTTTTTTTTTTTTTTGCATGACCACCACATGTGGTGGGTGCAGTCTTTTCGAGCTGCCTACGAAGGGCGGGCTACGTTGATTCTCTCCAGAGCATCTCCCCGTTCCTCGCCAGCCTCCCTGGCTGCTCACACTTCCCAGGGATGAGAAAGTGCCATGCGAGGCTCCTTCGGATTTACAAAAGTCAGAGAGCTGCTGCACGCTGGGGAAAGTGCTTGTGCGCTGGAAGGGACTGCATTCTCACACCCACTTTCTCTCTCTCTCTCTCTCTCACACACACACACACCTCACTAACTAATGCAAAAAGATCTTTCCAAAACCCTGCAGCAGTGTGGCTGCCTGCCCCTCCCAATGTGCAGTCATGACCCAGGTAATTATCCTGGGAATGAACTGATGCACCGGATAGCGTGGAAGCTGCAGGCCACTGAAAACTCGTTGTCCGATGAAGACCACCACCTGTCCATCCACCGCATTTCTCTCAGCCGCTTAGGCGACCACCGATTTCGTCAAAAGTGCCAAAATGCTCTTTCACCAACGAGAATGAAAACGGGTAAGAATGAATAACGGAGGGCCTTTTTCCTTCCGGCCCCCGAGACAGGCTGGAGAACGAAGCCTTAACTGATGGGTTGTTGATCGCCACGAGTGCAGAAGCTGCAAATGTATAACTACAACCTCAGTCTATTCAAACGTCCTGATCTTTAAAGACGAGGTCATTTTCACCCCGGGCCCAAGCCTGTGGAACTCTGCACCACTGGAAATAACCCAGATGCACCATCCCCAACTTCTAAAGCACTACAAAAATGTCTGTGTTTCCAACTGTGCTCTATCAAGGCTGTTTTTGGCTTTTATTTTAAGCTGCAGCTGCATTTTGCTTTTTCTGCAGCGCCTGGGTCTACTTTTATTTGCATTTCAGATGCCAGGTGATCGTTTTGGCTAACAGGTAAGCCAACAAGAGATTGCTTAGAACAGCATCCCAACCAGTGCAAACCTGACCCTTTTATACAAATTTGGCAGAGGCCAAGCGGAGTGCATTGCATTTTTTGACCGCTTCCGGTCAATTTCCGACAGCTTCTAGCATGGTTGGGTTCACGCAACAAGTGGGACCAAATGTGGTTGCAGCACTTTTAGCCAGCTCTTTTCTCAACCTGTTGAGTGACCATCCCATCCCCTTAAAGCAGAAGATGCTTATTGGAGCATCACTTTTTTTGCTAACCCAGATTTAACATGTCGTGTGAATGCAAAGACTGTGACATTTATGACATGGAGGGACTGAGCCCCCGAGTATTAGACTTAGAGGACAAATTCCCAATAAGATTCTTCTAGGCCAGTGTTTCTCGACCTTGGCAACTTTAAGATGTGTGGACTTCAATCCCCAGAATCCCCCAG